TCGTACTGGTGACCTTGGGATTCCGGTGCAGCGCCCTAATCAACTTGACTCTGTAGTTCAGTTGATTAGGGCGCTGCACCGGAATCCCAAGGTCACCAGTACGATTGCTGCCATAGGGCTTATAGTTGGACTGATATTTCGCGGATGTTCCTGGTTATTTTAAACAGGTTCTATCGAGTGATATGCCCATAAATCCTGATGTTAAAGTACAGCATATCTACCTAGCGGACACCTGTAAATCCATCATGACATGAGAAAGCAAATGATTATGCGTTATTTATCAAAGTTGGGACGATATAAACAACGAAGTCCTTGTCAAACATTTTCAAGTCATGTAAAATTACTGAATATGTTAAAGAAATCTTTTAACCCTATCCTAGTGTTAATTTTATTCAGGTTACACGCACGTAGTAAGTCTCGTTTATTGTACATGCATGCATGGTAATAAGATATAGTACAGTTCCCCAAAAATGTTTAATTGGATTTGGGTTATTGTTTTGTCAGGATTATATGTGAGAATATAAATTTTGAGGACTTTGGATAGGCCTATATATATATTTTTTGGCTAAATAGATTGGCAATGGTGAGGCCCTCTATCCAACGCAGACTTAATGATAACTGTACTTAAATTAAAGAACTTATTAATAGTTCACACGAAAATTAAAAAAAAATATGAATGTTTATTAATCAATGCTTGTAAACCGGATAAAGATTTTTCCTGCTTTATTTACATAAACTTCAGCTTTGATTCTCTCGGCTTAGGCAATGTTTATTTTGAAAATTACTTCGCGAATGAACTCATAACATGGGTTGTTTTTTAAGCACGTTAAAATAGTCGCATCCGATCTTTATCTGATATACAAACTTTCGCCTTTCGGCTCGAGTTTGTATATCAGATAAAGTTTAGCTGCTCATAATTTAACTAGTACTTACAAACCATATGTAGACATTGAACTATTCATAGCAAACGATTGTTTTGTCCTTGTATCTCGTCCACATAATATAAATTGATCAATAAATTGATATGATTTGTGATTAAAGCGCGGGTTCCATTCCTTTCAGATGGCAAATATTTAATCTTGGCTTTGGCATGTCTTCAAGATGATACAAAATAATTACCTTTAATTTCACAGCGAACACCATTGAACCCATCAGGACATGAGCATGAGAATGATGATGATCCATTATTTGAGCAAATTCCACCATTTAAACATGGAGCACTAGCACATGGAATACCTTTATTCAACAAAGACATCTTTAATTTAAGTTATAAACTTTAATAGCTTTTAAATATTTTTATCCTTCCCTTGGAGTGCCTGACCATTGCAACAAATGCAACAATATAACCCTTTCTTAGGAGCAGAATCTGCAATCCAAACTAACTGAGCTTCACAGAGTCTTGTTGCCGTGCTTTAACCCCAAGTTCATGCACATTATATAAAGCGATGCGAACGTAACAATTAGTTTTATCGAATGAGATGCCAAAAAAGCTGACGTTTAGAGCTCGACAACTTGACTATGTAGTTCAGTTAATTAAGGCACTGCACCGGAATCCCAAGGTCAGCAGTTCGATTGGTGCCAGTGGACTGATATGTCGCAACTTTTCTTGGTTATTTTAGCCAGGTTGTATCGAGTGATATGCCCAAAAATACTGATGTTTAAATAAAACTATAGCATGTCTAACTAGCGGACACCTGCGAATCCATGAGGACATGAGCAAGCAAATGATGAACAATATTTATCAAAGTTGGGCGATATAAACAACGTGTCAAACATGTTCAGGTATTGTAATATAACTGAATTCGTTACAGAAATCTTTTAACCCTATCCTAGTATTTATTTTAATCAGGTTACTCACACGCAAAACTTGCTCATTGTACCGTAATAAGATATGGTACCAGTGGTGTCAAGTAACGAAGAAAATGTACTTCGTTACTGTACTTGAGTACTATTTTTGAGAAGTCTGTATGTAACAAAGTAAACTTTCTCTGGAGTACTTATACTTGAAACGAAGTCTTTTTAAGAAGTAACGATTTACTTCGTTATTTTCATTTTGGGGCGAAGTATTTCGTTACTTTCCAAATGTTGTTTAATTTTATGTGATTTATTCCTGATTTATTTTAATTTTGGGATAGGTAATAGGACCTCTACATGCGTCTGAGATCTGCCGTTTATGCCTTACTTACAAGCATTATTTATTTAATGGATTTCTTAAATCTTCAACGGGGTCTGGAAAGTAGACCATGCCATCAAATATTGTATATTAGATGAATGCATGTAACGCGTGTGCTGCTTTGTGTCTTTTGTATGTCAATTCATTGGAGAAGTCCCCCCCCCC